AATANAAAAACTTATTTCCAGTCTGAGTTTCTGTCTTTGACTGAGTTCAGAGATCACAGCTAGTGAATGAATTTGTTGATTTTAAAGAGCAATAAAGTTGGTTTGCCCCAAAACAGTTTTCCTTTTTTATTCTTTCCTCCATTTCTTCTACTATCTGCAATTTTCAAATTCAAACAATAGTTAAGCATGTCAATTTCTTTCATCCTTCAAATGAATGAGTTCTTAGTACACGATTATCTTTTTCGAATCAACTTATACTTAATTCTTCTCAATGAGAAAATTACTAACTTTAGTTAAAAATATACAGCTGTCGTATTGAAGATTTTATGATAAAAACCTATACACATTGAAATCATCAAGCAATCATTGTTGGACCACCATTAGAATCCTGAAAGCACTGGATGACTGTTTCGTCCTGGTGTGGGACTTATCAATAGTGAGCATCCCCGACTTCTGCACCTCGCAGTATGCCAACCCGGGACCTTCGGTCTTGCACCCAAAGCTAGTCACTAGCGAGCGCATTTTACGATTTTTCAATTAGAGTTATGGAGATTATTGTTGTTACTCCTGCGAGGTGAGGGAGTCGTGGATGTGCACTGTTGATGAGTCCCATACCAGGACGAAACAGACGTTAAATGCTTCCCCGTTTCTAATGGTAGTCTAACAATGATTGATTGATGATTTCAAAGTGTAAAAACAATAATATCCATAACTCTAATTGAAAAAACCCAAACGTTTAAGGATCAAGTTAAAAATTTGACTCAGAGACTTTTCAAGATTACTAGTAAATCAGAAAACAAGTGATGCGAATCTACTATTGGTTCTTCTGTCTGTAATTTAAACGTAAGTTTGATATAACAGTTGTTTTATATAGCTTATTTCGGTCATCTACAATTTCTTGGAAGATCATACAAAACCGTCAGTATTCAAATCATTTGAATGTAAGTGGTTTCGATGCTTCTGTCCATGTAGTTTTGTAGTAAATATTTAAGATTCCAGTTCGATAAGTGTGTCGTGTCACTAGATCATAATAGAATTCTTAAAATAAATAAGACTACTCATAAAAACCATTTCAAATGTCATTAGCCTTCACGTAAGATTTTCTTCCAATATCACATGTTCTTTCCTTGTTTTATTACTATTACTGCACGTGTTTCATTAAATTGATAGTATAATCAAGGTAAGCGATTTAGTTCAATAGATTAGGTACAAGCACTTCAATAATGAAATAACCATTGAGTCAACCTGTCAGAACAACGATAACACCTCATGTTGTTTACTCGAAATTTATAGTTCAGCGATAGATAATTTGTATGTTATTATTAACGAAATGAAAATTTGTCAGTTTTCGGTCATTAAAATGCTCGAAATCAATATAAATACTTATTGCGAAGAGAAAAAGTGAATTGAATCAAGATTGCGCTAAACTAAAAAACATGCCACCTCCTAAAACAGATTTTTTCAAAGTACTTGATCAGATTCAGTGCATAATCAAAAGTGTTTAATGAAGCTAGCTATTATTCTCCTACGTTCATTTTCACTCTAAATCTCGATCCTAAGTTTCTGAAGTTCGTAAACAAACAGACGGTAAAAAAAATCGCATAATAGCTGATGCTAGCTTGTGTTGGAAACCCTAATCCTTAATTGTAAATCCAATTCAGAATTCTAGCTTAACTATTAACACATAGTCCTAACCTTTTACATTAGAGCTGGTGTCAGTGGGTGACGAAAACTGTATGAGATGATAGATTTAACCCTTAAAACTAGCCTGACTCTTAATATGAGGAAAATTGTTGAATAACTAGGCGGTGTTTCTTAATTGATCGACAGGTCTCCCAAAGTTGTCAGTATCTTATACTTTTAAGTTAATGACTAATTAAAAGGATTTGAGTTATCCAGTATTCGTGATTCTGTTTTAAACAGTCTCATTTGGCATATGTGGATTCTGAACAGGTTAACTTGATACTGTTATTATGTCATATATAATATAATTTTTCACTACAGAGCTGGAGATAGTTTTTTTCTATTGAAATCATGAATGAATCATTGTTAAATCATCATTAGAAACCTAGAATCACTGGACTGCAGTTTCTTCCTTGAATAGGACTCAGCTTTGCGTTCGCACGACTCACACGTTCAAACGCTTGACCTGTGAACCACTGAGCAGGTATCCAATGGTGAGAAGACGTGACCAGTGGAGTTCACTCATTTTGGATGTAGGCAGTAGCTATAGAAGACAATGGATGAGGTTACGCTAAACCTTAGATTGATCAGAGGTAGGAATCAACACCGTTTGATGTCGGCTCAGTGATCTAGAGGTTGAGTGTTCGCTTGCAAGATCGAAGGTCTTGGTTTCGATTCCTGCGAGTATCAGGAGTCGTAGATGTGCACTTCTGCCGAGACCCATACCAGGACGAAACGGCAATCCAGTGTTCCCAGGACTCTAATAGTGGTCTAACAATTATTGATCAATGATTTCAAGGTCGATAATAAATAGTTAGTTTCTATCTCAACTTATTAGCTTCAGGGAAAATGCATTGGGTGCAAGTTACTGCACTCAAGTCTGAATGTGAACATCAACACTGAGATTCAGGTACGTCCAGCTTACGTATTCAAAATAACGAACTATTCGTATCCCAGATTCTACTGCTACCCACAATTCATCCCTTCTATCATATTATTATTTGTCGAAAGAATTAAAGCTAATTTACTGTCATGCGAATCCACATGTCCGGATACGAATGTGATAGCTATCCAACAGATGGATTATTAAATTCAATGTATTTTGTCTAAGAACAGTAAAATCTAAACATAAAATAGAAAACAATGGAAACACCTACAGTCAATTCGAAAGATGCATGCATATATAAAAAATCAACATATTTACCTCGATCGTTCTATGCACAAAGAATGCATGTTCCTGATGATATTTCCCTCTTAATTCATTGAAGAATGTAAAGTTGATTGATGTTATCTTATTCAATGTCTATCTTAATATGTAATTAAAATCTTCACTTGACCTCTACTTTGTGTAAACAGTTGACTACAATTTATATTCATTGTTTATGTACTTTAGTAGTCCCAAGTAATTACATAATAGTACAGAAATGTATCATGTATTTTTTTCTGACTAAATATTAAACCAAGTTTGTTGCCGATACAAATAAAAATTTTCGTCATTTTATTTTGCTCTTCACCTGGGCAATACGTCGCATCGTGTGTTAACCTCTATTTTTTAGGACCATTTCTTGGCATACATAAAGGCACTCAGTTACATTTAAATTCTCAGGCTTATTTCTTAAAGTTCACTGTACCATACAAAATGAATTGGTGACTTCAGTAAACAATTAAACAGCTGACTAACGGCAAATATTCAAAGACAAATGACTGAAAATGTTCTAATTTTTTTCAGAATTAAATAACACTACAAATCATGTCAATGAAAGTTTATGTATTTTGTATCGCGTTGTAAATACTGATCAATAGTCATGATGTATCATTCACTCTTGGTAATCTTCTGGAACTATTCTATGAACACGGTAAAACGGTCGTCTTTAGGCCTATTGATTGCTTTAAAGTATCATCCACACTGCGAAAACGCTATTATACACACTATTTTTGTGTCAGTTCTCTATATTCGTATCTCTTGTGGGTGAATAGATGAAATACAGACTAAATGTTGACCGATTTCAGGTGCTGTGCATACGCTAGACAAAACCAACTTTTCAGGATTATTACACTTAGGAGCATACTATTGGATAAATTAAGCGATCTTCTTATTGGTTGTAAAATTCATGTGCATGTCACAATTCTTTGACAATGAAAGTCTACAACAATAATAAATTTTGATTGGTTGACCACCTGATGTCTTAATTAGAAAATTGATCAGAGTTGGACTTTATAAATCAGCTCTCTTAGATACATATAAAAGTCATTCAGTCATGACATCATTTACTCTGTCAGATTCTCCCTGCCTGTAGCTGGTCATCTTCTGAACCGCGCGAAGTAGACGTGTTCATGAGCAGTGCAAACACAGTTAATCCTCAGGAAGCTAACGAAAACAAGAATCATGTTCCTACAGTGATGCTGGCTAAAGAAAATCCAGGGGGTTTAGTAAGTGAAATGTTTCTTGTTTCCGTTTGCTTTTGGACTTGATAGCTTAATATATTCGTTAAAAAAAGTGTCCACAAGAAATAATAACTTGTTTAAATACTGTTCGTAGTTCATCAAGTTATCTATATTTATTGAAAGATTTCACTCCAGAGAGGATGCATTTCTTACATCCGAAAGGGAATACAAAATGCTTCCGAACTGTTTCATTATGAAAATCTAGTCGTAGATGAAGCAAGTTCGGACCAGAATTGTGTTTTTGAGGATCATTTGAACATGTAAAGACAAAAGATGCAATTTACGTATGATACTTAAAGCATAGTTTTGATTCAAATAATTATATTTAAATTAAAGATTTTTTAATATCAATCCATATACATCTGTCATAACGACTCATTAATAAATCTAACATCATAAATTACTATCACACTTTTTTGTATGAATTAACTACTAGTCTATTAAAGCATTTGCCCGAAGTGTCTGCACACAAATTGTCACAGATCATTCGGGATATGTAAGTAAGAATTAATGGCTTTAGACTGTTGTTAGTTATTTACGTATTTTGACGGTAGTAGATTCTAAATACAACGGTAAACTAAGTATTAACGGACATCTTCCATTAATTGAATTTCGTGTAGTGTCATCCTGAATTTTTGATTATTGGATCCTGATCCTGAACCAAGTGTTTGAACTGGATATCAAGTAGCATTTCTATGATTTCTATTCAAACTCTAGATGGTTTACTGCATCCGAAATTCTTCTTCATTTTTGTTCTATAGTGTGAGATCACTGTAAAAGATGAAAAAGGAAATGATCTAGAAATAAATTTAGATTCAGAAAAGCAACAAACACGTGGTGGTTGGAATGGAAAATTGGAATTCGTTATGACATGTATCGGTTATGCCGTCGGTCTTGGGAATGTATGGCGTTTCCCTTATTTATGTCATAAAAACGGTGGAGGTTAGTTATTTTCTGCTGTTTGTGAATAAATATTTTAGCCCAGTTCGTTCTGAATAGATCTTTTGCTTAGGATTCTAGGAATATTTTTTTACTTGATAGAATCATGAAAAATAGCATTCATGATAAAATGCTTTCCAATAATTCAATATACATTTACCAGCAAATTACGTATAATACCTAGTAACCAATCGTTGCTTCAGGATTGGTTTGCGTCGGCACTAGAACTAGTGATAGGGAGTGAAGCAGTTGAGCGTGTTTACCGTTCCACTTACTTGGGGAGTTTCACCATCGCTGGTGTCTGACGGAATCTCAGAGGGCTCAACTCGCTTTTGCCAACTTGCGTCATTTTTGGCGTAGGCGGAATGTCCATCTATCGACCAAAGGATGAGACTACTGTGCAGCGGTTCGCCCCATCCTATTTAAGGGGTGCGAAACATAGCCATTAAGAACAGAGTATATTCATAGATTGCTAGTATTTGACCGTAGGTACCTTCGAGGCATTGTTTGTGTATCCTGGGACAACCGAGTAAGCTATGCTGTTGTAAGGAAAAGAGTGCTAGGTAAGGATAGTAAATCAATTGATGAAGTAGTGAATCTTCGTCAGATGAGATCGTTAGGACATGTGGTACGAATGCTCAACCACAGACCGCCTCGATAAGATGTTTTTGTGCTGTAGGAGTAGACTGCAAGCAAGCCAGGAGCGGCCAAACCAAAACATGGCACAAATCCATGAATTCACTGACAAGTGCACTGAGTCATGTTGGTAGATGTAGGCTACCTGGTAGGGGTCCGTGAGGTGATAGTGACTGAGGATTAGAGACCTTGGATGACATGGCTCAGAATCGTTTACATTGGCGCAGGTGCATCCATTCTTTGTATTCTCTGAAATTCTAGTCTTCTGAATTCCTTGTTACCCTTCTCTTTCTAAATACGTTTCACTGAATTATACTTCTTGAATAATATTTTTCGAACCCTAGTTTTCTCCATTAACGCAAATACGTCAACTCGCTCTACCACAATGGGATTTGAATAGACAATTGCTTATGTGTGGTAATATAGTATGGCAACCTGAACTTAGGTACGTACGTACGAAGTTCTGCGTTATAACTGACCTGATCTGATCTGGTGTAGTAACCAAAAGCTAACTATAAGCAAAGTTAGTGTAGGATTTATGACAGTCTATTTATTATTTGATTCCTAATTGTTGACAAATTATATGTACATCAAAGTGCTGCTCAGTCTAATTGGTCATCAAATACTGTCCTTTGTAGCGGTCCCATTTTATGCTACTCTGAACGGTTGATTGAACTCGTATCATCTGCGCATATTTATGTTTTATTCAGTTTACAGACTGACTGTGAACTGGGATGCGCTTGATTTATAATATTGGCTTCTTTATCATGGCATCGCTGTTTAGATTATCAACGTAATTGGTTGATGCTATATACATCGATTTTTATAGCCTTGTTTCGTTTCCCTCTAAAATTGGTTTCGAACAGTCCATCTTGGTTCGTTTAACTAGTGAGCAGACGAATTTCACTAGCGCAATAGATTCGTAACTCTAATATATCAAAACATGCGGAGTGAAAATTACATTTCTCTGACCGCATATCTATTTAACTGGCAATGGGTTCGTTTCGTACCTATTGATTCTTTAAGTTTCGTTGATATTCAAAACACCAGTTTGAATAAACGGGTATTAATAGTCTAACTCCATTTTCGCTCAATAATTAATTATGCTGTAGACTGGGTTAGATCCACATTTCGTGTTTTCAAAAAAAATTTGCTGTAGATTGTTAATGATGCATTGACATTATTGTATTTCTAATTACAGAATAGGCAATTATTTGCGTTACTGAGGATGTGTCAGGACTGCAATTGATCGGTTTTTTACTATATATAAATCCTCTGATCGAATCGTCTATTTACGACATTTAACCTTTAGTCTGATTATTTTAGTAGTGTAATTTTGGACATGACTTTAATCTTATTTTGGACTCAAGAAATTAGAAACTTACTAATGCCATTATACTCACTGAACTTTTTAGTGATTAGGTGAACTCAGTGAATAATGCTTTGGAGCGAAACGGGACTGCACTTGAATATTAGTGTTCACATCAACGCTGAAATCCAAGTGCATCCAGCGGATTAGTCACACATAGGATGAAATGCGTTTCCTGTATAACACAACTATATTCCAGTTATACTGAACACTTGTGAACTTCCACCGGTTTATACTCTGTGTACAATTAGTCTTCATGGTTTTGTCTTGTTGCAGTGTATACATGAACAGTCAGACTTAACAATAATTTAATGTCGATCTTTAAGTTGACGAGATCTGTGCTATTAAGGAAACTAATTTGATTTCTATATATGTACGTTCTAGATTTGATAATATGTACCCATCCATATGTTGATTAATTATTGATGAAAAACTTATTCTACATCCATGTAGCATACATAACATTATATCAAGTAAGTGTTTCATCATATTTATGGTTACTATAAGCAGGACTGTGATATGTTACTGTAACTTTTTATGTACTTTAAGTACTGATTGGTTTACAATGTTCTCTCGGTAGAAATCACAGCTATATCTAAGCATGAAAGTATAATTTAGTCTATAAATTAAGTATCTTTTTATACAACTTCTTAAAAATACAAACAGATTTGTTTATTACACTTGGATTCACAAAAGGTTCATTAAAAACAGTATAATATGAAATTCAGTAGGTATTTTGTGATTGATCCGAGAAAATTCATCTAAGTAAGGAAATCGGTTCCACTTTATATTGCTTGTAATTACAGGAACCTGTGTTGTGTTGAATTCATGTCATCTTCTAGGTATTATTTAAAAAATCTAACGTATGTAACTATACATATTTGTAATGTTTCATGTGATCGATTCACAAATTTAAAACTGTCTTGTTGAATTTATTTATGATAATATTATCTTTGCATGTATAGTGTTATGGTGATTGTTGTAGTTCATTGAAATCATAATATTATCAGTCCATTTTCGAAGTGTGAAACATTCACTTTAATCTAGTTTAATATAAGATACACAGTTTTCAATGTTACTTCAATTCAGTCAACTTCTAAATTTGTATTCTTTTAATGTTAGGTGCATTTCTCATCCCTTATTGTCTGATGCTGATACTACTTGGACTTCCTTTATTTTTTCTTGAATTCGCATTTGGCCAATTTGCAAGTTTGGGTCCCATATCTGTTTGGAATATCAGTCCATTATTCAAAGGTGAGTATTTTTTTGTAATTTTATGTTGGAAATTGTTATAATCTGATAAAAAAGTTTGTTTCCAAGTTCCCCATATACGTAGAAATTGATTTATTACAACAAAGATGGATAACTCATACCCGATTATGTTGAAGTCTTTCTAGACATATCTGTTCCAGAGTTGTGTTTAGATAATGTACTATTCAACTTCATTTTCCACAAATTCTCACAAATTAAGTTCTTATCATTCTATCATACTGCTCTCACTTATTCAACACATTTCCGAAGACCATTATTGCAAATGGGCTAAGAGATTAATAAAATAATGATTCCATTTCATCAAGTAAATGGCAAACAATCATGCATGTGATTTTTATCTAACATGACAAGGTGTATCTCTTTGAAACGGTTTTTTCTCGAAATATGATCACTCTTACTTAGCCTTAGCTAACACTCTGATTCTCTGATCGAGCTTATCCATTAGCAGGAACTTTCATTCCCCTAAGTCCTACTACGACGAGCAGATCAGCTAATAAGCTGATAAATAAACATAAAAACTTAAGGTCTGTTGACGATGCCGTACTGCTGAATGTTTCGGGATATGAATGAAGAAAGAGCTTTCCACCATACAGTCAGCGTCTGCAGTAATGTTTTCTAACAATATAAGAGATAGGTTTGTTAAGGTTGGTTCTGATGATTGCACACACTACCTGCCATCACCAGAAGAAAGAACTTTAGAATACTGCGATGATATATGAAGAACTTCTCGGAAAAAGCTCCTGTGTAACTAGGATCAATAAGTCGTTTCTAAGGGATCGGTCACGCTCTTCAGTGATCAATTTCGCTCCTAACCTAGTCTCTTTTCCTCATGCCTTAAGTTAAAGTATCCTTTCATAGTGTGGGTAACCGGTTAATAACAACCGCACTCAGTTCGAAATCCACACAAAATTTATCGTTCACTTAAAACGTTTTCACAAACTGTTACGTAAAACATGTGATAATTTTCAAAATCCCTTTTTACTGATCGTTCGAATAATGCGTTTCCTCTTACTAATCTAGTATTAGACATGGGATAGAAGTACGTGTAATTAAAGCATAGTCTACTTCACTGCTTTAGAATTATTACTTGTACCTTTCTTCGAGGATATTTAGAAGTACGGAGAGTTACAGTTCATTTTAATGTTTGATGATTAAGTATAATTGACGTCTATACTCTATCCATTGCAGTCAATTGACGATACAACGATTACATTATTTCATTAAAATCACGGATCGATCAAAGTTAGACAACCATTGAATACGACTACTCAGTCCCTGTGTGATGTCTCAGCAGCGTGCATTCGAGATACTGAAACAAGTAATATAACTTATAACCGTTGGACGCTTAACCTCTAGACCATTGAACGGGGATCCACTGGTATCCATGCCGAACTTCAGTCAGTCCACGATACCGCACAACCATTTCCCATTCTTTTTGTTGCGTTCGTTGCGGCTGTCATAGTCTAGCTTCGCTGGTATCGGCTTTTACGCTATTTATTTTTTCAATGAGTGGTAAAATTAGTTGTCATGGCGATACCGATAATAATACTTCCTTGGCAATACTTTCAGGCATCGGCTACGCAATGGTCATTTTATCTTGGATACTGGTTGTATACTATCAAATTGTTGTAGCGCATTGTCTATACTTTTTATGCGCTAGCTTTACAAGCCGATTACCTTGGACAGACTGTGATCCAGCTTGGAGTAGTCCCAATTGTATGGATGCATCTCGTGGTAAGCTTTGTCAATTAATACTTCGATTTTTGCATTGATGTATAGCTGTTCAGCCTAACTCATAATCTAATCTTGGCAAATAAATTTAGGCAACAATTTCGGAAGCGTGTTGCTGAGATCTATGCTCGGAGAAAACGGCTGTTCTATGCTTGCTGGTTTTCAGTGGTTTTTTAACTAAAAGGTATTCTGCCATGTTAAGTGTGAAGTTGTATTGCTTTTAGGTTAAAAAAAAGTACATTTCTTTTCGGTATTAACTGGTAGAGCTAATGATAAGAGGAATTCTAATAACAAGATCAAATTGACTATGGCATATACACGTATTTAATGGGAGGACTAAGAACTAAAGGTTATCAATATTTCATTTACTGAAGGTTGTAGAAGACTTTTCGTCTGTTTGCTTCCACAACCCAAGACCATCGATCTCGCGTGCGATACGATGTTCACTGCTTCCAAGTTTTTCATGATGGTTTATTGTGGATTGATTCAGGATTTCACTAAAATTCAAAAATCATATATATATATACATAATTAGAGAGTTTACAGCAATCACCACAAATTTTCAAGTAGTTTCTAATCAACGAGAAATCTAAAATAGGAAAATTTTGCAAGAAGTAAACAGATTTTAAACAACAAATGAACATGTCAGTTTGTTCCACAGCTAACTTGGCTTCTAAATCTAACATATATACTCGTTCTTACGGACAGATTTCTCATCTTCTCAAATACTTGAAAGAACCCAAATAGATTATCAAGAGTCCCTAAATTATTCCTAGGTGGAATTAAGGTTAGGGTTCGCATAAAACACTGCCACCAACTATAGTGTGAAGCGCTCTGCAACCATATTAATAAGTGAATCCAAGAGACATTATCTGATAAGTTCATTTATGAAATATGATGCTACCAAGTTAATGTTGACTTCCGGATTAAGGATCTAGGATTAGGATTTAGGAATAATTTTGATTCCCGACTGATAGTTCTGTTGTGATTTTGGTAATTTAAATATATTTCGTTCGTTTACTCGAAACTATGCAATCCACAAATAGGTAACTGAGTTCTTACAAGACATTGTAATACGTTAGTGCACTAAATTAGTCTATTATTAGGTCTAAACAAAATAAAAAAATAGGGGTTGCAATCGAATATTCAACATTCATCAACTTTTTTGAATGATTTCCATTACCGATTGTTGTTCGATTTTTCTACCATGCTCAGAATCTTGTCTGCATTCTAATCACTTCTTGACTAAATAACACCATTTTAAGTTTTGAAAATCGTTTTAATTTGTAGTTGAAATGTTTCTTTATTTGTTCACACTTTAAGAAGTAATTTTACTTCCCATCGAATTAACTGTTAGCTTAATAAATCATGTATGTGTATGTGCTTTTTTATTTTACAGCTAACTTTACGAATATAACAAATCCTAAGGCTCCATCAGAAGATTATTACTTGTGAGTAGTATATGCCTCCTAAGAAAATCAGCTTTTTTCGCTCTATATGCTTCTTTTCGTTGATGATAACGTAATTAGTCATCCACAGCTTCAGATTGACATAGTACTAATGCTTCACTTATTTCGATCTTGATGGCTAGGCAGTGGAACAATTTGATGAATAATAGCTGTGGAGGGACATCTGTACATAAGATAATGAAAGGTGGAGATTCAAGTTAGACTCCAGAATCTAATTTTTCTTATGAAGATTAACAACTGCCGACTAACATCAAACATAGTAGTAGTCATTTAGACTATTACATTTTATTTACATTTTGATTAAACACTTTTCGGTATTTATAATATTTATAAAACCATGTTGAACGACATCAGACTATCTTTCAACTTTAAAGTCGGTATCATGAACATTAAGTTACTTTTGAATCAATTCACCATAGTAATATATTTGTACAAATAAAAATAAAAATAATAGAAAATTTATCATTTTATGTTTTGTTGTAAGTGACAATTCATCAGCTACTGCGTGAAGTACACTTCGAAAGTAGACACTCATCTATCTATCACTTTTTCATTAACCATTTACCATTTAAAAGTTAACTCTTGTTTTTATTCTTTTGCTTTAGTAATGAAGTACTTAAACTAAGCTCTGGACTTGAAGAATTTGGTACACCAAGTTGGTCATTAACATTGTGTTTATTAGCTTGTTGGATAATTTGTGCATTAGCTGTTATCAAAGGTGTTCAATCACTTGGTAAAGTAAGTTGTTGGTTAATTCCAGAATTGAGAAATAACATTCAGTGCACATATTAAATTTCAAGGATGATCTCATTTGTGTAGTTTTTCCTCGACTTTTAAGAAATACAAACATATACATATATAATATATAATATAATATATAGAAATATATATATATATATATATATATATATATATTTCATAATAGGGTTGTGTAGGTTGTTGAGTTTCATCGTAGTCATGAATCGACCGATGTTAGACGACTATTAGAAATCTGAAAGCACTGGGCGGCCGTTTCTTCTAATTATGGGACTCATTAGCTGTGCTCACCCATGACTCCCTTAAGCGGGAATCTAATCCAAGACCTTCGATCTAACGCGTGAACACCTAATCTCTCTTATATATATATATATATATATATATATATATTCAAAGCCTCAATGAAGTGTTATGGTAAAATAATGTTATTCAAACAAACTAGGTTGTACGAGTTCGACTTGTTGGTGTTAGTAGATGATGATAATAAGCTTTTATTATTATTTTTCAATCGCTATTCATGTTTTTATCAATCAATTTGTTAATTATACTTCCCAAATCATCAATTAGTGTTTTTAGAGAAAGGGGAAGAAAATCCAAAACTGTTTGGATATCTATATTGCCCAAACTAAATAATACTGTTCAGAACTAATAAATGAATGTTATGATCTGTTGAACTGGTCCATGTAGGTAGACAATCTACTAAATATTCCCATTGAGAAAATTGGAACAACACGTATCAACGAACATTATTGTTTTCAATCAGATTGTCATCGGGCTTGAATATTGAAAGAGTTAAACCAATCAAAACAATTTATAAGTCAGTAACCACAATGAAATGGATTACGTAACTACACATAATCAGCAAAAGTACAAGTTGGTGATAAGAAGAATGAAGAACCATAACAAAAGTTTTTGTCAATAGTTCAACTTTGAAGCGGTAGTAGGTCAGACTTGGACAAATGTACTTGGAATAAACATAAAGCTCTAGTAAAATTACTTGGTAAGAAAAGCATATAAATAATTAGATGGTGAACAATGTAGACAGAAAAACGAAAAAATGACAAAAAATACAGGATGCGAAAAATTGTCGATTTAGTCACAACCAAGGAAGGGACAGGGATGTCACCAATTTCTTCTGAACACATAAACTGAAGTTAGAGGTTCAGATTCCTATGGCTTCTGCTATATGTACTAGACGAAATCGAACTCCGTGGATCACTCAAAATGATTCAGTTTTGCTTAAATTACGACCACTGTCAACCAGGTGTGCCATGAAAGAGCTATGCATTGTTTCTATCTGGCCCTTTCTAAACCATGCTAAATGTTCAATATATCAATAGCTCGCTACTGTCTAAACCTCACCTAACGCAAGGCCTAATGACATCACACTACTAATTTGGATATCAGAACATCATAATTGTTTGAGTAGTAAATGGAAAATAGGATTGAGATACGAGGAAAACTAAAGCATGAACTGATCTTATTTTTCATGACCGGTTTTCAGTTATGCCATTGATGTGTCTGATTATTCACTCCTTTCTTTAATATCTACTTCATGAGAAACTATGGTTCCTTAGCTATTCATCGATTCAATTATCCTTGATTGATTAATTTAATCCTTTTTTTAAATTAAATCCCGTTTTGATTATTCACACAGATAATCATTATGTTGAAAACACTCTTGTTTTTCATTTCTATAGGTATCCTATTTTACAGGCATATTTCCATATATAATGTTAACTATTCTTTTAATACGAAGTGTACTTCTTCCAGGCGCCAAAGATGGTGTACTATATTATTTGACACCTGATTTTTCTCGTTTAAAAGATCCACAAGTATGGGCAGATGCTGCTACACAGATTTTCTTCTCTTTGGGTTGTTGCAACGGTGGTTTGATAACAATGTCAAGTTATAATAAATTCAAGAACAACTGTTGTAGGTACGTTGAAAAAAAACATGAAATGATTTTAATGTAGGAAATTAATCAAGATTATTCACTTTACAGTTTACAAAGTGGACCAATATTTAGATTGCAACCTCACTAATATGAAAGGCAAATTTACCAAGAGTGTTTCATGACTACAACATCTTAAACGTTTTGGAATGTTAAGTGTTATATCCTTGATATGGAAGATATATTCAGTACTTTAATTTACTAGAGTTAAGCTTGGTATTGCACAACACTTGTATCTGATGTTGACTAGATATCATGTTTGCCTTTTTGTTTGCTTGTTTAATATTCAGAGGCCGTATGTTCCATTTATCAATGTCTATTGGTAACGAAGTGTTAAATAACTGTGCTTTTACATTTGGTAACATAGTAATTTCATGAGTGTACTATCCCTCAATTATTACAAAAGCGTTTGGAGATAGGTAATATTCCGTAGTTCATATCACAGATTGATCTTAGTTAAACGTTACCAAACTATGAATCACTCGACAACTGTTTGTCTCTAACACAAGATATCTAAGTGGCCCACACTCATGAGATCTGTCGTACCTACAAGATTAGAGAACCTTCTGTCTCACGAAGAGCGCTTAATCTATGCAGATTATATTGAGTCAATATTCCAAGGTCTACATGTCCAACTTCCTTATGGCTAATTAATTAATCAAGCGAATCAAACTTAGGAACATTTCAAAATAATCTTTCGGAGAAAAAAAAATAGTCATTCGTAAATCATTTTCGAAATACCAAAATTTTAGTTTTCAATCAACTAACTTTTATGCACAAATTCATTAGTTGATAAATATGCGATAGTAAAATTCGCTCACTCATCATTTGAAACATGTGTGTGCACTGGAAATCATTAATTAATAATGTTATTAGAAAGAAAAAAAAACTATCAATTACCACACTAAACACACTAAACAATGAACACAATGAAATTCCAAGCAAGAAAAAAAGTAATCAAGAATCATTGATGTTTCTTTCATGAATATTTTATTTTTTTCAATGATTTTAACAGTCTGGTCATTTCAGTTGTCATATATATATATATATATATATATATATATATATATATATATATATATATATTTAGTGATAATAGTGTGATTAGTTAGTAAATTGTGATCATGCATGAAGTGTGTGAAAGTTTTTTTAATTACATGGAGTTTAACATGAAGTTTATCGAGATAAATATAGTCAAATAAAATTAGACTGTAGTCTGTCAGTTGTTTACCTATAATTTATTTCTTTTTCATAATTCAATAAAATATTGAATGTGAGTGACTACTTTAAAGAAACTTTGGTTAGTAATTAGTAGGATTATTTTGTTGTTAGTGATTGGTTCTAGGACATTGAATATGAAACTTGTCAATTGAATACTGTCTATCTTGTAGTGTCACTGTTCACTCAAACTCATATCATTTATCACTTATCGCTAAAAGTTTAGTATAGAGATGAGTCAGCGAGGCTCTTGCGCGAAATTCAAATACGGGATACGAACAGTAGAACAGTAGAACTCAGAATGTTTGGAAGGTTTAAAACTGACATGTTTGAACGCATCATTTGATCAATTGTTTTCCAGTAAAATATACATAACAAGTAGACTGTCACTATTTTTAACTACTAATGACCGATCCTCAAGTAAACCTCAATCTCACTGGATTATATTTTATTGTGCGGATTGGTCAAATTGAAGATACCCCTCCAGAAATTCCATTCTCAATTCATCCATCTAAATGGCTAGCTGAAAAAACCTGATTCTAGCCCCCTTGAAATGTTCTATAAGATGGATAATTTGTATATATATAGGCGTATTTGTAGGTCGTTTCTTCTCGATTTACAGTCTGGGCAACCAGAGGAAGATTCTAATGAATCTGGAAATTATATGTAATCTGTTCATATTGTCAAATTATTATCTTTTTCCGTAAACTATCCATTTACAAAGAATGTTTACTGAACGGTTTGGAAATGATTGAAAAATTCCCTAGAGTTATTCTCTCTACTAATAATAAATCCTCACTTATTATGTTCCACTTAAATCAATCAGTTTTTGTTTCAGTCTGCAATGTTTATAGTCAATTCGCAACAATAAAAAAAAACCTTTTTATTTAGTGGTTCATTGACTAATCAGTGAATTGGTAAAATAAGAAAGGCTAAAATGAACAACAATGTCTACGCATGACTTTATCATATTTTCCTACTTAAAATTCCTTTTTTTTGCATATAGACACATTAGTGAATAAAAATTTTGCGGTTGTTGATAAAATTTTCCATAGAACTTCTAATAACTACGAAAATCGATTACAAGAGAAACTTTCACTGTGTATAATGGATTCTCACTAAGATGAATAAGGTTATGTTAAAGAAAACTGTGAACTGTCAAATAAACAAAGTTCATAAAACTACTAAATTCTAACAGGCTATACTACTTCTAATGTGCGATACTTTTGACTTATACAAACGTTTTGCTTATTGACTGAAAAGCGGCTTCAGAATCACGAGGTCATTTCAAGAGTCTCTCTCCAATTCCTTTCTGTACCACACTTTCACCTACATTTCTGCTGTTCGCAAAATGGCATTTACAAATAAATACTTGGGGTAGAACATGCATTAATTATCTACTTGATTGCAGTACTAACTATCACGTTGTCTAGTATTTTTCCATTGATCAAACTATACCCATCATTTTATCATATCGAGCCATCAGTCTGGGGACCAAAACATTGTGGTGAATGTTTAATTTAATTTTGAATGGTTGGAGTTAGCTAACAAGCAGCCCCTAGGCTTAGGTTCCATATGAGGAGAAAGGACTTTCATAGCAAGGTTGTCTAAGTTACGGAATAAATTTGAGATGATTGTAAGATATAAAGATTGTAAAGTCAAAAGGTCACTCTATCTGGTGTAACCCTGACTCAGCCCATATTGAAATCTTATTTCTAGGCCCTAGTTAGAATACGAGAATAGTTAACTATAATTAACAAAAAAGCCCATGATTATGTACATATAAATTAAAGGATCTCAGCGCACCATAAATATGAAATATTAACGTATGCCTCACTACTAGTGAATATCTACGGTAGGAAGCTTAAGAATAGGCTAAGAATTAATTAACAATAATTTAAGAACCGTAGAAGATAGATAAACAGTTTCTGAATTAATTGGAAGCACATTACCAGCAGTAACTTACAACGCTTGTCAATCTCATTTTAACACTGAAACTTTTACTGATATCGATAAAATGTGAATTAACATGAAATCAATAATAATTTGGCTACTTCCATAGCAATGTGTTCATGCCTATTTGTGATTGATACTAATTATGTGAATATGTACAAAACTAACTAACAACGTTAAAATGACTCATTTCTACTTATCAAACTAACATGTGTTATCTACTGAAACGTTGTACCATATTAACTTATTCCATATAAATGTTATCACAAAAAACATATGTTAATGGTGTCATTTATTTGTAATAATCTATTAGTCTATGTCATGATAACTGTATCACTTTGACTAATTCAACTTCATCAAACAAGATGAAAGGAATATATATCGATTGATCTGAAGTCAGTCTTATCTAGTGCTAGAAGTTAATGTAATCTTATTGATCTGAATACTTCAAAATGGTGAAATATCTGATTGTAAAAGTTGGTAATGGAAATTTGAGACTCACATAGAACAGGTCAATTCTCTTAAGACACATATATCAGAGGTCCACCTTTGCTATGATGAGTGCCAGCTATCATGAAACTTTGTTCTTGAAGAGCTGTTTGTGATGTGTTAACAATGATTCCTGAACAACGAGATAATTAATACGTTTTTCACCTACATGTTATGGCTTCCTTATACTAACTTACGTCACGAAATAAATCCACCAGTCGGAACCCCGGCTCTTATTTTCCGTATTTCTCGTCTACTGTTCTCTTAGTGGCCTACTGTTTAAGACTTGACCGATTACACATCGTTAACCCTGAGCTGACATAAGGTAAGCTGCTATTGGTGGGCCTTTCACTATTTCATGCCTTGAGTACAAACAGAAGTCGGTATCCCGCCTCGATTGTGCTCAAGGCAATTTATAGTCACGAATGAATACACTAATATACTTGGAATGACTCACTACACTGTACAACAATTAGGAATTCATACTTTCAACATAATCATACCATAAGTGATACAATAAGGGCGCAGCACACAGAACCTAATTAATTAATTAATCATAAGCATAGGATAGTAAAACGTATAACGACAGTTGAAAGGTCCACTTAAAACTTGCAATAAGGGCAATATAGAACATACAAAAGTAAGGTTATCTACATAATAAAAATACAGAAAACATTAATTCGGAACGTAGTTCCAAAAGTTCCAACTTTCTCCTTATTCGTCCCAGTATATAAAAAAAAACTTTCTTTGATACTAATTCTTTGATCTAGCTATAGCAACGGAACATTATTGAGCATTCAAATAATATGGTAGCTGCTATTCGATTGAACTCATAAATATTCTAACCTGTATACAATTGTATACACCAAGTGATTTGAATTGATTAGTGAGTTGAATCGATAAATATGTTATTAGGCCTAACGAAGGATAATGAGAGAGAGGTATATCACGACTAATTTATTGGTAATTCTGTTTTGTTACTAACTTGAAGTAATATAGTGTGTGTACTAATTATCAAAGTAATCTAAATCAATCATCTAGCATTCATGAATAGGACCGCATCAAATTTACATGTAGATAGATAGATACATTTTGTTAGAAACAATACTATTTCTATGTCATAGTTTTCTTTTATCTATGCTATTTGAAAGGTAATCATTTTTGATAACAGGAATAGGTAGTCATCATTTTGTTTAACGAAACAATACTTTTGTTTATTAATAATTTCCGTTTTCAAACTCATTAAGATTATTCAATTACCGATAGTAGTTAGTTGATGCCTTTTTGATTATTATTATTATTATTATTACTCCCTTCAATCTATTTATGTGAGTATTATATTTCCAACTATGAAATAATTTCTTGAAATCATATGATTGTAGGCTAGAGAATAAACATGAAAGTTTTCTTTTATGATATCAACATGGAAATCATTTCTGTGCTGCAAGTAATTTAGGTATAATTTGTGTATTTAACTAAGTATCCGTTATTTACCGATTGATAAGTTGGGTGCTGAAAGCTGAACTTTTTTGCTCGCTTCCTATCTTCTAAAATTCTTTTAACTTTTGAACCCTGAACAGTTAAGAATGTCTGAAAGAATGTAAGAAGAATCTTTTACAAATGAACGTATACATGAAAAGTTGTTCATAAGAGTACATGTAAGCTTGAAACCCAATCAGTTCGTAGGAAACATGATTAAATTAAAAGATGAATTGTTTAATCAGAAAGATGAAAACATCACAGACACATGCATTACCATGCGTGTATTATGGTTGAGCTGAGAAGGTTCTATCAAGTGAACCGATCAAATCAGGATGCATGTTTCCCATCAAGGACTCCTTGAGATATAGTCAGCTTGAAACAATAAATCTTTACTACTAACAGTAACAATAGATGAGTTTAGAGAAACAAGTTGCAAATATATATATATATATATATATATATATATATATATATATATATATATATATATAGTTTAGTTTAATAAATTCATAAACAGTGTAACGTTTTTCGTTGTTGAACCAATTTTTGACCAGTAGAAATGTTTTTTAATTAATGGTTGATCTTATAAGAATTAAGTTTTATATTTTCCAACAAAACTAGTATTGTAGTACTTCCATGTAGTCTTAATTATCTTCTGTCCTTCGACAAAATTCAATATATTGTTATGTACTGAACCTATCCGAAATAAACATCAGTTAACTTTCAGTACCTATATCAGTTTTATAGCAGGCATTTTGTGTACAAATTAAGTTTGCAGTACACTGTTTCATGATATTTTCTATATTTAGTGGTCACATGAATGTTGATAAAAGATGGTATGTTTTACTAGTCATGTGATGTTTAGCTGTTTTCTAAAGAGATACTTTTTTATTGAAGTGGGGATTGTTAAAATTCATTATTTAAAAACATTTGGAGCAGAAAGGCATTTATGCAATGATTGTGAAAACTTTTAACCCAGGTGGATGATTTTGATGTTGTTGAGTTCTCCAAAGTAGATAGTTTAATTGCGTAGCTTTCATTGTCGTTGTGACTAATATCTCCAGTACCTACTTCATGTGGACGTAAGCTTCCTATCTATTTCATGAGTGTAATATCTGTTAATTCCGGTGGCTTTGTTTGTGACTATATTTATAGGTCTTATCGTCTTTATTTACCTTTGAATTCAAGTTCAAATTCTTTGTTCATTGGTCTCTGACCTTGTGATTTGTTCGGTAAATGTCAATTTCTCTGTTCTTTGCTAATTGATCTGAATATATTATGCTTCCAGAAACTCTCCGTCAATGTTAAACCCACTTTGGTCGATCTAATATTTATCACAGTTGATGCAATTTACTTCGTAAATTTTGCATTTGTCTTTTTATTCTGTTGTTTCTTTTGAATAAAGCGAAGTGACTGTATTGATTTGTGAACGTCGCTGATATTAACGCGGTTCATGATTTGTGTGGTTCATTTTCTGACATTATTTTCATAAAGTTGTTAGAGTACTCATTATTACAGTAGACAAACTGTGGCGACAAATGACCTTGATACTTAGAAAGCTCATTTCTATATGAATTAAGTGTTAAAGATGTTGTAACAAATGGTAATGAAGGCTACTGAATAAAAACATCAAACCCAGGGAACTCAACAACAAACAATGTAGTTCATGGATTTAATTAAAAGACTTAATGCTCTCACGACTGACGTCTGACGTTATGCACAATATTTCCAGTGTTTAGTATGTGTGTCATTTGGAACGTTATCGACCACTTTTCATTTCATTTGATCAGTAAGCAGTAATGTTCATAAAAAGTGTGATCTTCATCAGAATTTCCATCCTAGATTTTTGGCCGTTTGGAAACTGTCCTGTTCTTAATAGGCAGTTGTTGATAAATATTCATGTAAATTTTTTAGCGAGATATACATTCCAATTCGAAGCACTTTTTAATGAAATGAACAGAAATACGGCTGAAGAAATCTTAGACCGACCATACTACACCTTGTTATGTTATGATAAGAATTAAAAAAAGACTGGTAATATTGTTTTCTCTACACGTCAATTAGGAAACTTTATCTAGCCAGACATTGTACTATGTGAAGTACAATATATACTGCATAACACCGAAAAGTTGTCCTTTCACTAAAACCCCTTTTATTTTCATTCAAAAAAAAACAGAGATGCTGTAATATTCGCTATTATCAATTGTGCAACTTCTGTTTACGCTGGATTTGTTATCTTCAGTAATTTGGGTTTTATGGCTTTAACAAAGAATACAACAGTCGCTGCAGTTGCAACATCCGGTAAGTTTAAAAGCTTATTGATTGCAAAGAAATACATCTAGATGTCCATCTCTATCTGTGTATATTTATTAGCTAGATCAGCATGTATATGAAAACGATCTTTGAAACAGTTCATTACCTCAATTTTAACACTGAATATTTTGTTTGATCAATCAAATACATTTCTGAATCACTGATCCATTGGTTAAGTTTGTTGTTGTCAGTATGCAACCATTTTCTTATCGATCCAATTAGGAAATGCAGCTGTCCGCTTGATTCATCTACATTAGCTTACACTAGCACCAATTTGAAGAGTGAGTTAGTGTAATACACTACATCCAGCGGTAGTTTCACTGAGACTCAGGTACAATAGGCTATCTAGACCTGCTATTTTGTGTCAGAAGACTAAGTAAAAGTAACAAGAGAGCTACATATGCTAAGAGCAATAGGCGCGTACATAACTCGTGGATGTATATACATCTATCCATCTGATCTAGACAATAATATGTAGGCTGAAACATTGAATAAGTTCGTAATAGAAGTCTTACAAAAGCTTTCCCTGTTTATCATCACGCATACAAAGGTTCAGTATTAATGTGCCGTATGAATATAGACAAGTGATGTATACGGGTTGACACAATCTATCAGTTCAGTCAGCATGTCAAGTGATAGACTGTATCATACATAATCAAGGGGCTGTATAAAATACAACTATTTTTAGTTGTACAATTTTTGTTCAATTAATTTAATGAAATTCCCTACCTTATTTATCCATGGTCATTGTAAATGTGAGAAGTTCACACCGGTCAAACTTCATTTAGAAAAAGGACATGTTATGATTACAGTTTAAGCATAGTAGTCCCTACTTAATTATTAAATTACACTTTTTCACTGAAGTGATTATTCAATTGTCAAGAATCTGATATCAGTGTAATTAATATTCAACATAAATCTGAGGAGTAAACCATATTTAGAAGAAACGTCCTTTTTTCACCTGTTTATCAGTTAAGGCTTGATGAGTGTATGCTCAAAAAATTATCTGATAATCAGTGATAATTGTAAACTGGCTTAACAACTAGGGAAGAATCATGAAATCTGAAAGTTAGGTCATAAACTATAAGTTGAGGTAGATTTAGTTACCAAATTTTCGAATCAAAATCAGATGAGTACATTTTGTTTCAGCTGTGGCATAGCTTTCATATTCAGAATCACTGCTTTTGTTAATATTTTCACACAGTATTAAAGACTTAATTTTTTGTTAAGAAGTACAGTTATGCCGCCTACTTTAAATATTCGAATAATAAAGTTGATTTCAATATGAAATCAGCGAATAACCGTTGTATTTGAATACAGATTTTGTAAAACGTTCACTTGATTGTTTGCTTAATTTGCATAGAACGGTTCACAGAGCGTACAGAATAATAGAATTAGTCGTTGCACATTTAACGCTTCGTTAATTATCACCTTCAAGTATTTATTACTTCTTCCTCCCCTCCGCTTTGTAATGCTATCATTCATTATAAAGACTAGTCATTATGAAAAATCACTGCTTAAACATTTGTCATTTATTCTCAGGTCCTGGACTCGCTTTCGTTGTCTACCCTGAAGCAATGACAAATATGCCATTGCCTAGTTTATGGTCAGTGTTATTTTTCATTATGATGTTAACACTTGGTCTTGGTTCACAATTTTCCATATTGGAAACAACTCTATCCGGCACAGAAGATGAACTGAGACGATTAGGTGTAGTATTGACAACAAAACGGAAAATGTTGTATCGGTAAGTTGAACAAATAATTCTTAGAGTGTAGCCTTTTCAGAGGTTTATTTTCAATTGTAATAATGTTCATTAATAAAATCATGTTTCTGTTGTCATTTGGTGCTATTTGACGGAAACTATAAGTTAAGGAATGTCAGTAAATTGATCAAAACCAATAAATCTACATGGTATATTTATGCATCAGTCGAATGCACTACATTATATCAATGCTAAGAGATGAGTAGAAATTAGTTGAAATATAGTAATCAACAATACAATTCAATAGGAAAGAATAAATCGGTACAATTGTGGTGCGCGCTACTTATAAGTAGTATATGACGCGAGTGAAAACGTAATGTCTGGCAGCAGAAAATGGGTGAAGATCAAGAAAGGAAGAGTCGGAAAACAATGGAATTTGCGTATGAAACGCATGAATAGTGAAATGTCAGACAATGGATTGATGATTGATTGAAGATTTGCGAATTAACAGTTACGATATGGTTTTCCTATTTTATTGAGTAACTCTGTAATTTGCAATAAATACAATTCTATTGCTCTCATCTGTGTTCTCCTTCACTACACAATGAATGATATAAAATAATTTTGAAACTCCAGGAACAAATAATTAAAAAAAAGAGTGAATATATCTGAGCTATTCAGATTGATTTCGTCACAATATGTATGATACAACGTCTTCAACTATTATTTTTCTATTCGATTGGAAATCTAGGTATTGTTTTATTACAATTCCTTCCATTGATACATTTGTTCAGAGCAACAATCATAAACTTAGAGAAAAATCAAATAAATTCATTTATGTCTTGAGTTTTTTGTAGTGGTATCTACAATGTACACTTTAATAATAATAAGTGGATATGGATAGTAATTAGCAGTGGCATTCAAGATACGCTTTCTGTCCTATATGCGATTTGTCAACTGGATTTGCCTGCATCTCAAAGTTGGTGTTCACTCACGAATATACGTACTTGATAACATATCACTGAATATTAGTAGAATAATGGCAACCGTTATGAAGGTTGATATAGAGAGATGAATATGAGAAAAGCTAAAAATAGCAATGACTGAGTATATGAAGTAAGGTAGTGCATAATTGAAATGATAAGAATTTGAAAACTACCAAGCTAGTGAATGATGTACAATAAATGAATCCTTTCTGTGAATATATAGATTTGATTTCAATGACTTTGGTGTACTATAGTAAATTCAGAGCACTTACATTGAAAGAAGAGTTCTTGTCCGAATTCCAGGATGAATTCAATTACGCTTAACCTCTGCAACCTTTATAATAAAAATCATAAAATGTGATCACCAGTGACCGGCTATGTAAGAAAATTCTCTGAGTTCAAGTGGGGTTCAACCCCATTTGGATGTAGGCAGTTACGTACCTAAGACAATGGGTAATGTTGCGTATTACGTTGAATTGATTAAAGTTAGACATTAAGACCGTTGGATGCCGACCTAATGGTCCAGAGGTTATGCATTCTCGCGCGAAGCCGAAATTCTTGCGTTGGATTCCCGCGAACAGGGGTCGTGGATGCACACTACTGATGATAAGTCACATGCCAGAAAGAAATTGCTGTACAATCTTCTCAGGTTTCTAATAGTGGTCCAATAATGTTGCATACATACTTTCCATGAAACTCAACAATCTTCACAACTTTATAATCAATTTATTTTAAAAATGACTAGTTATATTGCAGTATTTGTAAAATTAGAAAATAAGTAAATGGGTTAGATGTTTAACTAGTCTTTTTGATATGACAATGAATTCCACAGAAAGCATCCATACAATTCGTTTCTTTGCCCTCTTTGCAGAGATCTATATTGTGATAATTTCATTTTGTTGTTTTGCTTCTCATTTATTTGTACGTATATTGTGCACTCCTTTGTTGTTTTTTTTTTCTATTTTTATTGGTCAACATAGGGTTGTTATATGCTTTGTTGATTTCTTGCTTGGATTACCTATGGTTTGTGCTGGTGGCTACTATTTATTCTCTATATGCGATAGTGTGATATCTGGCTATACACCTTTAGTGATCGCATTGTGTGAAACAGTTGTTATATGTTATGTATATGGTAAGCTGTTGTAAATTATCAATATCTCTGTGTTCTTATACACTATCAGTCTTTTATTGATGATGATTATGATGATAGTGAAAAGATATTTGTGTAATAATTAATTAAAATGCATAAAATGTGATGATAATGCAACTGTTACTACATGACTAAATGACAGACCATTGCTCACATGTTTGAATAATTTCTATAAGTCTCCCTCCCCAATCAAAAAGAAACAAATAGGATAAGTTTTTCATTGAACAAAATAATCAAGACAAGAATAAACACAGTGTTTTGATGTTAGTCAAGAAATAAACAATCACAGGACACTAAAAGTCATTCACTCTTCAATAAGTCCAATTCTTGCTCTGCAATATCAAGTTTGTGATGCATCAGTTAACTAAAATATCTAATGTTCAATAGTAGAGTAACAGTATTGAACATTGGTAGTGGTAGGAGTAGCTGTTTTTGTATCCTTGATTACTGTGGTTTTCTTCATTAATTCATCATTGCAACATCCACTTGTTTCTACATTTCTTTTTCTCTACATTTCTTTTCTTTTCATGAGTATTTAGTTATTAGTTTATGAGTTCTTATTCAAAAACATGTTCACGTACATATGTGCATATATAAAATATATGTCAAACATAACGCAGGTCAATAGATGAAGTACTGAAATTTCGTCAGTTGGGGTGGTTTGGACATGTGTTACGTATGCCTAACCACCGACTGCCTCGTCGAGCTATATTTGGCGGTGTAGGAATAGATTGGACGAAAGCTAGTGGACAAGTGGACTGAGTCATATTGGTAGATGTTGACTACCTGGTTGGAGTTTGCAAGACAATAGTAACCGATGGTTAGAGACCCTGAATGACATGGCTCGAAACCGTTTGTAGTGGCGCAGGTGCACTCATGCTTTGTCTGTTCTCTCAAATTCTAATATTCTGAATTCGTTATCACCTCTATCTTTCTCTTTTTAGATTTATTTCTCTAGATTCTACTTCATGAATAATATCTTCGAACCCTAATCTCTCTGATTACTGTTAATGCCTTTACTACCTCTACTACTATGGGATTTTAATTGACAATTATGTCTCTGTGCCAACGTAGTATGGAAACTTAAACTGATGTGCGTAGGTACATACGAAGTTCTACTTTGCTATTGATTGTTTGACTGATCATAAATCGAGTCTATGTACACGCATAACAATAACCTTTATGATATATATTTTAACAACGAACTTAAAAGTAGTTACCACATTCAAGGTTTGTAAAGATTCCTAAATTCTATGATTTGATCCATAAAATGTTTGTAGCTAATCTGGCATTGGAAACCAGCTGATACTGGACAGATGTTCTGTCCAAGTATATGACACCTCAGTAGTGTGCATCCGAAATCGAATTGATGATTTAGCCCTAGATCATATATGGTCTTTCTACCAGCTCTTATTCATAGATAATAGATTACACAATCCTCGTCTGATAGTTTCGATGTTCAGTTTTAATCAATTTGCAGTATTGCTTAACTGACTTCCAACGTCATTGATAAGTGACTGCTTAATACTCGACATAATTGACTTTCACTGCAGATAGTTTTGCTTATAACTATGGCAAACACCTCTCGAAGTTTTTCCTTAGTGATCAAACGATGAAAATTGATACACATCGGGTTTATGAAGATTCTTGACTTCTGTCGTTTACCGTACAGATTTGCTGTAGTTAGATAACCAGTGAATACTAAGGTACACTGGAAAGATGTCTTAGACTCCTTACTATTAGTCATACACGGACCCTCCAAGAGTTTTTTCCAAGAACTTCAAGTATCGTTACAAGTGCCCAACTCCTAGACCATTAAGCTGGCATCCTGTGACTTGAATTTTCAGATTTAGCTGGTTCATATTTTTACTCAACCATCTTTCAAGGCTACCAGCGGCTAACTGCTATATATCCGACAGTACTGAACTCTACTGGTCACAGCTTCTGATCAAAGTAAACACTATAAAATATCGAATTTCATTCACTCAGTGGTGCAACTGATTTATCTTTCAACTCATAACTTGTTCTTCGTATCACACTTAATAGCATCGTCCGTACGTATCTCTGCGTAGTGCCACACTTTTAAACGAAACCCCTGCTAATTTTCTTTAATTATCTGAAGAAGTCTAATTTTTTATGTAAATTCTAAAGTTTTTTCTATCTTAATTATCTATCTCAGTTCTGTTTTCTTTTTGTGCCTCTTTATCCTCATCAATTGCTTTATGTAGGCTTAAAACAATTTCGACGTGATATTGAATTAATGATTGATGAACGACCGAATTGGTATTGGCGTATTTGTTGGCTTGTATTTACACCAGTGATTTGTTTCTTATTAATTATTGCAATATTTATTTATTCGGGCGAATTTAAAGAAGGCGATTATACATATCCACAATGGGCATTAGTATTTCGTCAAATATTAGCCGCTATACCTGTAATCACAATTATTGCCTGGTTTTTGTATAAATACTGTAAAGAAGGTGGTTTTGTTGTAAGTTTCTTTCGGAATTTTCACATTTTGAATGAATTACGAATGATTATTTACCTTTCATAAAGTGTATTAGGTGGAAAATACCATACTCTAGAAAAGTAGTAACCGTTTTCATTCAGTCAGTGTGCAGGTGGTATAAATTAGAAGTATATAGGGGTTCTGAGAAGATTATCAATGTTCAGTAATTCACATAACAGATTGATCTTAATTGGAAAAACATCATAAACCGATAAAACCTAGATAGCTGTTTTGTCCTATGATGGGTGGGACTTTGGGGGTGCACACCCACAACCCCACCATAGAGAATTAGACCCAAAACTGTTGATCTGGAGAACAGATGCTTAAATCCTGGACCGGCGAATCATGTGGGACAGCCGTCCAGTGCCCCCTGGTTTTCAATGGGGATCGAACTCAGATCAGTCATTGATATACTCTAAGATAAGTGTTCTATTACTTATAGATCAAAAAGAGGTTGCAGTAAACATTATGAGTTTGGGTTACAGTGGAAGAATGCTTCGTAGTGACATTGATGAGTGGCTATACAGAGAGTTCTTTGGTTTTGAATCTACAAAACACATCTCATCTAATTCAAGACATTTACAAATTATTTTAAAATATTGTTTTTCGTATGATTTTTTTCCTCCATAACCTAATCATTTCAAGAGTCGCTTTAGTTTGTTCATATTCTGTAGTATCACCATATTTATCAACTGTAAGCTAATTGTTCACTAAATAATAGCAGATTTTACCTTTCCTAGCTATCAATCAACATTTTACTCAAAAGTCAAATAATTGGTATGTGAATTCTGACTGATTCATCGCTAAATCTTACTGTTACTGTAATGTATATTTAATCCTTAGTGCTAATCGAACTCTGTTGGTGGAGTTACAATATGGCTACTAGTCTAAATACCTTTTTGTCTCATGCACTATACTATGATGTGAGACTCAAAGTTAAATGAAATCGACAGCGTGCCCTAGACATCAGTTTCATTTTGGTTCATTGCAGGATACACACTTATTTGTCATAAATACGTTCAAAATTAATCGTAAACTTCTTCATTTCTGAATAGCTAATGAAAGAATTTTTGAAACCTGTTCATGAATGGGGACCAGCTGAGAAAGAATATCGAACGGAATTCATCTCTATGATTAAATCAAATGAATCGTTACATCGTTCTCGTATTAATGACCTTGGTCCTGGTAATCCCTATACAACAATGACTCATGCAATATCTAACAGTCAAATGCAAGTGAATTTTGCTTTAGGCGGTTCACTTGTTAGTGGATTAGCTACTACCGGTGTAGTAGATGATACTAAATTTTTCCAGAGTAAATTAAAAGTAGCTGAAAAACTTACAGAAGCCCATACTAAAGAAGTGATAAAGCGAGTTGCCAGTAATGCAGATTTCGTCCCATTAGATCCTAATTTAGCTTTAACAGCTAGTCAGACAGTAAGTTCAAAACATTCTAATTATCATTTGCTATTTTTATCATTACTATTGATTGTTTTTGAATTGCACCATGTTTTTTCTTCAAACCGGATAACTCTTTGACAGAAAACACTACCATGTCTAATTCTTATTCTTATCTTGAAATAAATTAGTCGCTTTAATATTATTGAGTGCAAAAGGGAAAATCGATGTGATGGGTAGTAATTTCATTCTATTGTTGGACACTATATCAGTGCACATCCATAATTGAGCTTAGGATTCTCAGTTACTCTAATAAACAATTAGCCGTTAGACTACTAAGTTTAGATCAAATTGTTTACGTTTCTATTTTCATTGCTTATTGTAAATGTGCATATCCGAACCTTTAATCTTGATAATACTGTCCTGATTCTTATCAAAGTACATTTTTCAAAATATCATTGAGTTGTTGCTTGTTTAGCAGAACTCCTTTATATTGATCTCTACACGATATGTTAGACTTCATATCTAGTTTAATTAAGCTTCAGTAATATGGATTACTTAGGCAGTTTGTCATTGAGCATCCTCCAGCCTTGAAATGGATATTTGAAACTGAGATGCAGATTGATTCAGCTGGCTACTTCTAGATGAGATTAAATGCACGTCAGTAATCCACCAGTACTCATAAATCAAAAAACATAATAAATCTAAGTCCATTTAGTTCATAAATGTCAACTCATATAGATTTAAGTGTTTTTCATTCTTAGGTCTTTTTTATGTTAAGCGCATATAATGCATAACTTCGCCAGTAGAACCTTAGGGGCTACTGCCGGTCCCAAGCCTGGATAAAGGAGAAGGGTTGGACATGGGGTTGGCGACCCCATTCCGTCGAAATCTCACTTGCCAAAAAAACGCTAACCAGAAAAAATAATTCAAACCATTTTAACTCTGCCCTGGGAGTTGGAAGAAGAATTATGACGTCTCGTGATGAAAGCCGAGTTCCCTCGGAAGTCACGGGGCCGATGCCTCTTCTGACAACCAGAGCAACCATTTTTTTAGGTACATGCAAGAGAAGACGACCAGTGTAGCAGCAGCCTCTGCAGCAGTAGGTCTCAACATACATAAAGGGAAAAGCGAAATTCGCCGATGCAACACAATATGCACCAACCAAATCACTCTTGATGGAGATGCCTTGGAGGTCGTTAACACCTTTACATATCTGGGCAGCATCATCGACGAGAAAGGTGGATCGGATGCAGATGTGAGGGCGCGGATTGGCAAAGCGAGGGCTGCATTTCTACAGTTGAAAAATATCTGGAACTCCAAACAGATATCAATCAACACCAAAATAAGGATTTTCAATACAAATGTCAAGACAGTTCTACTGTATGGAGCGGAAACTTGGAGAACTACGAAAGCCATCATCCAGAAGATACATGTATTGATTAACAGTTGTCTACGCAAAATACTTCGGATTCGTTGACCAGACACCATCAGCAACAACTTACTGTGGGAAAGAACAAACCAGTTCCTGGTTGAGGAGGAAATCAGGAAGAAGCGGTGGAAGTGGATAGGACACACGTTACGAAAAGCACCTAACTGCGTCACAAGACAAGCCCTCACATGGAACCCTCAAGGCAAAAGGAAAAGAGGAAGGCCAAGGAACACATTACGCCCAGAAATAGAGAAAGATATGAGAGGAATAAACAAACATTGGACAGAATTGGAGAGGGAAGCCCAGGAGAAAACTGGTGGGCGGCCTATGCTCCATTGTGGGTAACAGGCGTAAGTAAGTAAAGTAAAGCATATAATGCATGAATATAAAGTTCATTTAAACTACATAGTGCTCTCTCTCTCTTAGTTTATTTCATTCCAGTTTGGAACTCCTTTCCAGTCAGTATATAAAATCAAACCCACGAAAAAGTAGCCACCTATCCATTACTCCATCGAGGAGCACAAATGAAACCAGATTTAATTATTTTTTGTTTCCGCTCATTAATTTTTATATTTCTCTTAAGGCTTTAGCAGCAGCCAGTTCTGCTGTTCTTCTTAACACACTACACAAACCATTCCCAGAAAATCCAACTCATGCTCCAATGCCTATAAGATTACCGGAACAAATTGAACGTGGTGATGATGATGATGATGATGATGATGATGATGATATTAATGTGGTTGGAATCAAACAACTAACTACTACGGCACATTCAAAACATGGATTAAATGATCAACACCATCATCAACAACTAACGCAACATCAACAACAAAATCAATATCATGAAGAAAATCACGAAGTGCATTTTGATAAACCGAATAAACTTCAACGTTTTATTCACAAAGTGAAAGATACCATTTAAAACGAAAATATTGATTTTAGTATGATGACTTTTAGCAGTGAATCAAATGAAGATTTTGATGAACAAATTATGAGATATTGTTTACCTTAGTTCATTCTCAGCTTTGTTTGATTAATATATATATATATATATATATATATATATATATATATATATATATATATATATATATACATATATATTTATATTTTGTTTGTAATAATATTATTAGAATTACACTTGAAAATTGAATCATGGAATTCAAAAATCAATTCTTGCTCAAAAATGTTTGTACACTTTCTATTGTATATTGTTATTCATTCATCATGAACAAGCATATTTTTGAATAAATCATTTATATGATCTTTTTTTTAATGAAGTTTTGAAGCCTAGTCTCGATGGTGAATTAACTTGACTATAGATTGAGGAAGTTGATGATGTTTAGTATCCTGGTTTTTTGGTTTCTATATCACTAAATAGATTCATAATCTTGTAGTTGAATTAAGTTGAAAACTGTTCTCTTTCTCCCCAAATCTAATTAAACAAAATTAAATGAATTAGTCTAGTCTGAATATGTCATTTGAATGTATTGCAGAATGTAGAGAGAATAGTTGAATTTCAGGAAACTATAAAAATTTAACTTATCCAATCAATCGTCATGTAAGTTCATGAATGTTGTAGTCGAACAATAGATTATTTCATGCAAATACCTTTTCTAATTAGACATAGTGTGAGCATAATAGCATTCGAGAATGATGGTAATTGAAATTTTCACTTCAATTAATTCATGGATTCATGATTAACTACAGATTGATTTTCTTTTAATCCCCACACTCGATGTTAATTAAGCTCAATATAGAATATAACTAACTGTGGGATTCAAGACATAGGTTTCACCATATTTAGGTCTTGTCAATTGAACGGACATATCTATATCCCGGAGTTGATGTTCATCCCGGCGACTCGAAACCATTATTTATTCGCTTCAAATGTCATCATGTTATCCACTTAGCTATTGAGTCTTACAGTCACCCATTTATGCGTTTTGATTCAATTTGGATTCATAAATGAGCAGCCCGTCATGAGGCTCATTAGCTAAGTGTATGGAGCGAACAGTACTTGTTTCGATTGCTTTATTCTATATCAACTTTTGTCTTAATGACTATAACAATTTAATCTATTTGAAATGAACAAGTAGTATCCAGGACTCATCAAATTTTAGTCAAAAATATCAACGACGGGATAATGCAAGCCATTTCAAATTGAAGTAAGTTAAACATTTTAGTATCACATCTTCAATCTGTCATGCAATTAGGGAACGCATGACTTCATTCTTAAGCCTTCTAGTTTTTTTAATTTGTCATGTGTTCATATAGATTTGTATTCATTCAAACGAATGATCGTGTTTTATTGTGACTATAACAGATTCAGCCCTAAGCAACATTGAACCTGGCATCTATGTACACATTAGCACACAAGCACTACAAGACAAAAACCAGGATAGTAAAAGTAATCATGGTGTGAGTATTGATAGGAAAGATCAAGTAAAGATAATATGATTCTCGAAGAAATAATTAATTCACTGAATAAAATAGTACAGAATAATCTAGAGATTTAAGGGGAAACAAAGTAAATGCATGGATTCTGTTTATCACTAAAACCGAGCGAACCGTCAACCATTCAGTCCACACTTACAGTCACCGACATCATGCATTAATCTTACAACCTCCTCTGATTACACAGCTAAACGCGTGTGAATGAATATACAATTTCCTATCATTTTCACGAGACCCAGTCTTAAAGTCAGAGGAAAGCAAGTCTTTTTCGGTAATAGCCTCGCGAACGCGGCTACTAACGTCTGGGAGATAGCACAGAAAAATGCTAAGATTCTTGCAGCTAAAATGTTGCCGCACGTTGCTTATGAATGAAACTGACATACATAAACCACTTTATCAATGGGATGATTGCACAACTGTGCATTGGTTGTAATTAGTATTCATTTGCCCTTCACGTTGATTGATACTGATTTTATTACTAAAAAGTGAGTTTTGAAATCTGAATTTAAATTTTTTGGTATCGGTATGCGTAGCAGTTGTTCACATATCTCATGTTAGTTTAGTGTCCAAATATTTCACATGAATAAGTTTACATTTTGTGATTAGGCGGTCAGAAGTTCATACTGTGGCTCTCATGTTACAAATGCAAATAACATAACTTTCCAAACTGACAGTGTATTTCCCTTCATTTATCACAGTTATTATGAAATTGATACATATTTCTACATGCTCTTGAATGAATAACACACCCAGTTGTTACTGTTTTTTGTATTATTAATCCGTAATTTTACAGTTCTAGCCGGAGTGATTATTAGGATAAATCATACTAATATCGCTTTATCGAAAACTGATTTCAACTAGTGCATTTGGATAGTTGAATATTAATGTTCAGCTTTAGGTTCATTTGTATCATTTAGTTTATGCTACCGTGAAAACATAAATTGTCCATTCTATCTTGGTCCGTGTTTTCCCTAAAACGAATCTATCTGAATGAAGATTTAAAAAATGGATCAGTTTTTTGTTATTTTAAGCCTTTTAAGTAACAAATATTTGACATTTTAATGAGTCATTTTAATTCTATTGATTTTCTGCTTTTTGTTATATTCTTTTATGACTAATACTGAACAGTTCTATCGCTATCATTATCCTATACTTCAGTCACTGTATTTGTATTGGTTATAAGCATAAGACTATTTTAATCTGTCAAGTCGTATGCCTATCTACATTTTCAGGCACATGATTTGTGATTGGTAGTTGATTCAATCAACATACACAACCGACATTAGTGTCTCCCAGAAGTTACACTGAAGAGAAGAGTGACGTGTCCGTATGTATAGCGTGATCAAATTGGTTTGAAGATTAAAAGACAGCTAATAGTTGGATTGTTTTGAAAATGGAAGCCTAAAAATAAAGTGTACATATTTTTCTACTAAACTATATCTTCTTTATATAAATCACTTATTCCATCTGGTCTTAACATCTTCATCTGACTTAATATACTATAAAGAATGATCTCCAGACTGAACTTCTTACGAAAATCATACAGTAAATGTAAGAAATAAGAATCAAACTAGTTCTGATATGTCAAGTAGTTGAACACATAAACATCAACTTCCTAAACCTGCTTAATCTAAAGCGATACACACCATATTCTCTTAACTGAAAACCAGAAATGGGAAGGATCATGTGAACATTACTTCTAAGGTTTCAGAGAAAATGAAACATGATAATTACATGTTATCCTGGGATTTCAGAAGTTGTCGATAAGTTCTCGAATTGGTGACGAAAACAATGATTCTCTCGACAGAATGTGATATCTTTTTAAATTTTCGGCAGATTCTAGGGAACACTTACTGTTCGGAGTATTTTCAGCACTCTTCGTAACTTCTAAAGCACTTTTTGATAAGCTGTCTAGCACTCCTAACCTTCTTATTTTCATCTTGCTATTTGTGAAGTACACAATTTTTCATGCTGCGCAATGTGATGAACAATACCTAAATCATCAATCATGTCTAGGGGTTGGCTGAAACTGGTAGGCATTTTACTGACAATCAGAATTATTCATGAGTTATTCACTCTAGGTCATTGTTTTTCAAGCATGCCTTCGGTGACATTGGTTTCCTCTTTTTAGATCGTCGCTTCTAATAAACGTATTGTGTCTTTGAACAGTAGGTGCATAATGTTCATTCAAAATATTCTTACACCTTTTCACAAATCTTACCAACGAGCTCAAAGAATACCACAGTGATTTTTATATTTTTCTTATCCACTGTCGTTCAGGGTAATCAGAGACAACTACTGTAGAATCCATACATCGAACATGTTTGAGGATGAAAAGACTTATTTCGGAAGTGAAATTGATCACAAACATTGATTACCTCACAAGTCATTCAGAATTCGTTTACTCAATAATGTGGTGTGGGGGCAATTATCCTTTTCCTATGATCAATAAAAGTAGATTTTCGATCATTGTACTGTTCATTCAATTTCCATACTACAACTAAAAGTATAAATGGCACTAAGGAGCTCAGTTTAATCATCCAAAATTATCTAAACGTATCTTCTGTGACTGTGCTGCTGTAGCGCATTTCAACATGCCTTATTAAGAAAGCAAATAAATTAGTCACAAATGACCTTTTTTTATTATGATTCGAAAATGACATGACGAATAAAATATAGGCATCAGTTTATAATGTATCCTAGCCATTAAGTTTTGATTAGCATATAAGTACGACACTTTATACGAATGTTTACTTTTGTCTATAGTCATACTTTGCGATATTATCGAAACAGTGAAATGAAGAATAATACCGAAAGAGTAGAGATCCCCTTGAGATTTTCGACCCAACGCCTACCATGCATATGATATCTTATGATCCCATGCATTAGGAACAAATTAAAGTAATAAAGTTTCAGCATCCACATATAGTCATTTACTCTGGAAAATTTATTGATTTTCAAAACATTCAAAATGACCAAGAAATCATAGCAAGAGTCAACAAGTAGTCAAAGTGAACGAAAAGAGGCAAGGGAAGACGAGAGATTTGTGTTGTCAGACTACAAAGGTCTTAGTCTTGTCAAGGTCATTCGTAACAAGAGGAAAGTAACCAATCACAAGACACTTAAATTATATACAGTAGAGAACTAGGACAACGTCAATGATACATGGCGAAAGTCAGATATTTTAAGTACAAGTGAACCTGTTCGATCTTGCTCAATGTCAAAAGAGAGGAGTGTGAGATTTGAATAACTTTAAAGTATTTAAGTCGCCTGTTTATTTTTTAGAATATTTATTGCACTATTGCTTTATGACAGATATAATAAGTAGTACGTTTTCTTCAAAATTAAATCTTGTATTCTTTATTTATCATAAAATCTGTTACTAAATTTCGGGTAAAAATAGAACTTCGTTGTGTACAATCTGAGGTCTATAAATTATCAACACGTTGTCTTATTTTTTCTCAAGAAGATTCCTCGGTAGTACATACAGCCAGTCATGGCAATCTCCAAAGTGACTGCTGGTGATTAGTAAATCTACAATTTTTAAAAATACTACAAAATCCATGTGAAACTACAAATTAGTCAAAGAGCAAAACCGTTGATAGGCTAATGTGATATTTTTCAATTATATAATCTGATTACTAATGAGTCTCAATCATTATGGCTCATTTTACCCGATGTTTAATACTAGAAACACTTCACGTTACTTATATCTTGATAACGAACGTGAATTTTCTCTCTGTAATCACAGCTGTAATATAGATATCACAACTTTTGGCGTTTTCTGACTGGCCATGTTTTGCTGTTACATAT